CCCCCCCATTTTCCCCCCTCCCTCAGTCCCCCTTTCCTTCGCATTTCCCCGTTTTTCCTCCCTTTGCCCCTTTTTTTCCCCCCCGATTTTTCCCTTTCTTTCCTATTTCTGGATGTTTCGGGTTTTTTTCTTCCCCCCCCCAATCCCGCCCTTCAGTCCCTTCCCCCTTTTTTTACCCCTCCCCGCTTCCTTTTTTTGTCTCTATTTCCCTTTTTTCCCTGTTTTTCGCCTTCTTCCCTCTTTTTTTTTTCCCTTTTCCCCCTTTTCTCCCGATTTCCCCCATTTCGGCTGTTTTTTAAGTGTTTTTTTCGGGCCCCTCCCCCCAATTCTTCCTTTAAATCCCCTCCCCCGCCTCCCTTTTCTTTATATTTCCTCTTTTTCCCTTTTTTTCCCCCTTTTTTCCCGATTTTCCCCCTTTTTTCGGGCCCCCCCCCAAACCACGTGGCCGCGCGCGCGCGCCTTTTGTCAGTGACGTCACCGGCGGCGGCCGCCCCTGATTGGCGGGTTTAACGGAAGCGGGGGCGGGACTTCCGCCGCGGCGGCCGCTGATTGGTCGCTCGAGGCGGAAGTGGGGGCGGGGCTTCCTGTGGGCGCTTCCGGGGGCCCCGCGTGGGGGTTTGAGGGGGGGAGGGGAAGCGGGGGAGGGTCAAAGGTCACGACGTGTCGCGATATCGGCCCCGACAGAGCCCGAGAGAGGGAAAATGGACCCGAGGGGATGGAACCGGACGGAGTCATCGAGGTGAACTGGGCGGACTGGGGGGCACTGGGAGGGGGGAAAGTCATACTGGGAGGGACTGGGAGGGATTAAAGTGGGACTGGGAGGAGTCAAAGTTACACTGGGATGGACTGGGAGGGGTCAGAGCCAAATTGGGAGGGACTGGGAAGGGTTAAAGTAATACTGGGAGAACTGGGAGGAGTTAAAGTGGGACTGGGAGGGGGGAAAGTCAAACTGGGAGGGACTGGGAGGGGTTAAAGTGATACTGGGAGGGACTGGGAGGAGTCCAAACCATACTGGGATGGAGTGGGAGGAGTCAGAGCCAAACTGGGATGGACTGGGAGGGGCGTGAACCAAACTGGGATGGACTGGGAGGAGTCCAAACCATACTGGGATGGACTGGGAGGAGTCCAAACCATACTGGGATGGACTGGGGTGAGTCAGAGCCAAACTGGGAGGGATCCAAGCCCTTCTGGGCCAACTGGAATCTGCACCAGTTCTTACTGGGAATGACTCTGCTGCACTGGGGCTGCTCTGGGGGTTCTCTGGGCGGTCACTGGTCCTTACTGGTCCTTACTGGTGCCCCGCAGAGCAACTGGCACGAGGTGGTGGATTCGTTTGACGAGATGAACCTGTCGGAGCCGCTGCTCAGGGGCATCTACGCCTACGGCTTCGAGAAACCCTCGGCCATCCAGCAGAGAGCCATCCTGCCCTGCATCAAAGGTGGGGCCCTGGGAACCCCAAAAACCCCCAAAATCTGCCCGGAAATACCTAAAATCCTGAAAAAAACAGCCCAAATCCTCCAAAAACCAGCCAAAATCCTCAAAAAACCAACCCAAAACTGCCCCAAATGCACCCAAAACCCACCCCAGCAGAGAGCCAGGCTGCCCTGCAGCAAAGGGGGGACCCTGGCACCCCCAAAAATGGGATTGGAAACCCCCAAAAACCCCAAAATCCAACCAAAAATGGTCAAAATCCAAAAAAAACCTGGCTCAAATCCGCCCCAAATGCACCCAAAACCCACCCCAGCAGAGAGCCAGCCTGCCCTGCAGCAAAGGTGGGAACCCCCAGGGCCCTGGGAACCCCAAAAATGGCATCAGGACCCCCAAAAATGAGATTGGGACCCCCAAAATCCACACTAAAATGGCCAAAATCCTGAAAAAATCAGGGTGTAATATCATGTGTGTGTTTCTTGTCCCCAGGCTATGACATCACTGTCTCTGTCTGCCCTCAGGCTATGACATCACTTTTTGTGTCTGTCCCGAGGTTATGACATCACTATTTCTGTTTGTCTGTCCCCAGGCTATGACATCACTGTCTCTGGGCTATGACATCACTGTCTCTGGGTTATGACATCATTCTCTGTGTCTGTCCCTAGGCTATGACGTCACTGTGTCTGTCCCCGGGTTATGACATCACTGTCTCTGTCTCCAAGCTATGACGTCACTGTCTGTGTCTGTCTCTGGGTTATGACGTTACTGTCCCTGGGTTATGACATCACTCTCTCTCTGTGTTGTCCCCAGGCTATGACGTCACTGTGTCTGTGTCTGTCCCCAGGCTATGATGTCACTGTCCCCAGGGTATGACATCATTTTCTGTCTGTCCCCAGACTATGACATCACTGTGTCTCTCCTGTCCCCAGGCTATGATGTCACTGTGTCTGTGTCTGTCCCGGGCTATGACATCACTGTCCCCGGGTGATGACGTCACTCTCTCTGTGTCTGTCCCCAGGTTATGACGTCATCGCGCAGGCTCAGTCGGGCACGGGGAAAACGGCCACTTTCGCCATCTCCATCCTGCAGCAGGTCGAGCTCGACCTCAAGGCCACCCAGGCCCTCGTGCTGGCCCCCACCAGAGAGCTGGCGCAGCAGGTAAACCAGTATAAACCAGTACAGACCAGTATAGATCAGTATAGACCAGTATAGACCTGTACAGACCAGTATAGATCAGTACAGACCAATATGGGCAATTATAAACCAGCACAGACCAGTCCAGGGCACTGCACCCAGGCCCTCGTGCTGGGCCCCACCCGCGAGCTGGCTCAGCAGGTAAACCAGTACAGACCAGTACAGACCAGTGTAAACCAGTACACACCCTCAGTGACTGATACAGACCAGTACAGGCAGCTAAAAACCAGTACAGACCAGTCCAGGGCTCTGCACCCAGGCCCTCATGCTGGGTTCCACCTGTGAGCTGGCTCAGCAGGTAAACCAGTACAGACCAGTATGAACCAGTATCGGCCAGTACAGATCGTTAGTGACTGATACAGACCGGTACAGACCAGTATAAACCAGTGTCCCCCCACTGCCTGGGCAGGGCGGGGCCTCCCCGTGGCCCCGGGTCCCGAATCCAGCGGGGGGAGAACAAAGAGCTCCCAGTTCATCCCAGTCCGGACCAGTGACCGGCGCTGGTTCATGGCTGGGGGACACCCAAAGGGGTTTTTTGGGAGGTTTTGGGGGTTTTTTGGGAGGTTTGGGGGTCCCAGGGGGGTTTAAGGAGTCCCTGGGGGGGTCTTCAGGGGGCTCCAGGGGGGGATTTTTAAGGCCGAAAATGGGATTTTGGGGGGTTTTATGGCACATTTTCCCCCTGATGACATCACTGATGACGTCACTGATGACCTCATCGATGACATCACAGACCCAGAAGGTGGTGATGGCCCTGGGGGACAACTTTGAGGTTCCTGGGGGGGTCTTTAGGGGGCTCCAAGTGGGGATTTATAAGACCAAAAATATGATTTTTGGAGGGTTTTCTTGCACATTTCCCCCTGATGACGTCCCAGATGACGTCACTGGTGACATCACAGATCCAGCAGGGGATGATGCCCCTGGGGGACAACTCTGAGGTTCCTGGGGGTCTTTAGGGTGCTCAAAGTGGGGATTTTTAAGACCAAAAATGGGATTTTGGGGGGGTTTTCTTGCACATTTCCCCCTGTTGATGTCACTGATGACATCATCAATGACATCACAGATCCAGAAGGTGGTGATGGTCCTCAGGGACCTACATGGGGTGATTTTAACTTGAATTTTCCTTGGGAGGGGAAGGTTCCAAGGGGGATTTTTAAGGCAAATAATGGGATTTTCGGAGGGTTTTCTTGCACATTTCCCCCCGATGATGTCACTGATGACGTCATCGATGACGTCACAGATCCAGAAGGTGGTGATGGCGCTGGGGGATTACATGGGGGCCTCGTGCCACGCCTGCATCGGGGGCACCAACGTCCGGGCCGAGGTGCAGAAGCTGCAGTTGGAGGCTCCTCACGTCGTCGTCGGGACCCCCGGGAGGGTCTTCGACATGTTGAACCGCAGATACCTCTGTGAGTGACCCCAAAACGGCCCGTTTCACCCCAAAATCGGCTCGGGGACCCCGAAAACCCCCAGAAACGGCTTTGGGGACCCCAAAAACCCCCAGAAATGGTCAAAACCCACCCAGAAACGGCCAAAAATGGGTTCAACCCTCCCCCCAAAAGAGCCCAAAAAAAGCCCAAATCGGGCCCAAAATAGCACCAAAAACAGGTAAAACCCCCCCAAAAGTTCAGGGCTGGGACCCCCGGGAGGGTCTTCGACATGTTGAACCGCAGATACCTCTGTGAGTGACCCCAAAAATGGTCGATTTCACCCCAAAATCGGGCTCAGGGATCCCGAAAACCCCCAGAAACGGCTTCGGGGACCCCAAAAAATGGGTAAATCCCCCCCCAAAAATGGGCTAAAACTCCCCCAAAAGAGCCCGAAAAGGCCCCCAAAAGGCCCAAATTGACCCCAAAATTGCACCAAAAATGGGTGAAAGCCCCCAAAATATCAGGGCTGGGACCCCTGGGAGGGTCCTCGATGTGTTAAATCTGAAAACGCCTAAAATCACCCCAAAAATGGCTTTGGGACCCCCAACACCCCCCAAAACTGGTGAAAAAACACCCATAAGTTCCCAAAATCCTCCCAAAAATGGCCCCAGTTGAGGGGTCCCTGATTTTGGGGGAGGATCCTCAGTTTTGGGGGGGGTCTCAGTTTGGGGGGTCCCCAATTTTTAGAGGAGAGTCTCCAAATTTAGGGGAGGGTCCCCAATTTTAGGGGGTCTCCAATTTTGGGGGGGTTCCCCAGCTTTTGGGGGTGTTCCCGGTTTTGGGGGGGGTTCCTTAATTTTGGGGGGGGGGTCCCCGATTTGGGGGGTCCTTAATTTTGGGAGATGGTCCTCAATTTTTGGGGGGGATCCCCAATTTAGGGGGGCTCCAATTTTGGGGAAGGGTCCTAAATTTTAGGGGAGATTCTACAATTTTAGGGGGTCTCCCATTTTGGGGGAAGGATCCCCAATTTCGGGGGTGTCTCCAGTTTTGAGGGGGGGTCCTTAATTTTGGGGGAGGGTCCCCAAATTTGGGGAGAGGGTCTCCAATTTGGGGGG